TATTAATAAAATGCTTACTGTTTGCCAGGTCCTGTTTTAAAGCCTAGCAATATTAACCTGACAATAACTTCCTGAGATAGAATGTATTATTAAAATCTATTTTATCTGTAATTGTATTTGCTTTATTTATTTACTTCATTCAAATTACTTAAACTAAAATACAGGGCTAGATAATATATCAAAAATCACACAGTCTCAATTCAAACCTAGAAAAACTGATTCCAGTGATCATGCTTTTAAACTAAAAATGAATTCATTAATACATGTACACTTAGACAAATGGCTAAGTGTATTGGTACAAATGTTACAGTACATGACCAAAACAGTGTTTTCAGGTAAAATCAATTCAGGATTGTTGTTAACTGTACTGTGCCACACAGTCATAATTCTTTTAATATTCTGGAACTGTCAAATATCAGTTTTATGGCATCATATCAATTACATAACCTCCCTGTTTCACTTTTCTGCCTTTAAAATGGTTCCTTCTCTGTTCCCCAAATATACTTGTAGTTAAGCATCGTTTGGTACAGATATTAACATGCTTATAGTACAAACAACTAGATTACATGAATGTTTACAGACAGCAGTTAGCTCATTAATGGCTTATTTACTGACTGCAATAAGCATCATATTAAACACTGAATGGGGATAGATAAGCAATTAAAGACATGACCTTAATCAGTTACTTTTTTTAATCAGTTATTTTTAAAATCTAATTAAGACACAAAACATACTTATGTGAGATGACCTGAAAACTACATTTTAAAAAACCACTTATTTCCAGTTGAAAACTGGCAAGCTACTAGTCAAATACGCAAGTCCTAAGGAGAAACAACAAGGGTCAAACTCAGGGAAGACAAGTGCCAGATAATAAAAATTAAATTAAATTACTCTGTGTGCTTTAGATTGTTCAGTAAGGAAAATCTTCACCCATATCCTGCATCACGGATTTGCAGGACTCCCAGACTGTCTTATATGTGTCATTATCTAAATATGTTACATTAAGAAATCTGGGCCAGGTGCGGTTTCTCATGCCTGTAATCCCAACATTTTGGGAGGCTGAGGCAGGAGAACAGCTTGAGGCCAGGAGTTCAAGACCAACCTGGGCAACATAGCAAGACCCCTGTCTCTACAAGAAAATAAAATATTAGTTGGGCATGATGGCATATGCCTATATTCCTAGCTACTCAGGAGGTTGAGGCAGGAGGATCACTGCTGCCCAGGAGCTGGAGGCTTCAGTAAGCTATGATCACATACGGCACTCCAGCCTGGGTGATTGTGCCACTGAATCTGAGTTTTGTTACCCTCTAATGTGGCAGCAGCTTGTGCAGCAGACTACTGGGTAAAGTGAACAGAAAGGTTGATGATGACCATGGTAGTGGCTCCAAAACAAGAATGGTTCAAAACCAGAGGAAATCATGTAGGACAAAACCATTTCCCTTTACATCTCACCTTTACCAACCTACCAATTAGAAGAATCCACTCCTACTTTTTCCTTCTGCCCAGCTTCCTCAAACTGCCCAACTCCCACTGTCAATCTGTTTCAGGCAGCTCCCTGACTCCCGTATACACCATATGTGTGCACCCACGAACACATATCCTCACAGACATAATGCATATTCTTATTTGTACACCTAAAGATAAAGAACCTACTGTCCATTCTGAACCACATATAAAAGCATTAGATTAAGAAACAACATAATGAGTTGTTTCTGGGGCCTGAAAATAAGTACAGTTGACCCTCCATATCTCTGGGTTCCACATGTATAGATTCAACCGAAGGCAGGTTAAATATATATAGTGGGAAAAAACAGCAACTATACTGAACATATACACCTTTTTTCTTGTCATTATTCCTAAACAATATGGTATAATTACTATTTACATAGAATTTACATTGTATTAGGGATTATAAGTAACCTAGAGATGATTTCAAATATACAGGAGGATATGCATAGGTTATATGCAAATACTATGCCATTTTATGTAACAGATTTGAGCATCTGTGAATATTGGTATCTTTGGGAGGTCCTGGAACCAATCCCACATGGCCGCCGAGGGATGACTGTATATCGTTAATAATTCTTGGCCAGAAGTTAAACATCTAACCTCAAATCCCAGTTCTTCTCTACATGCCTGTGTGGTCTTGGTAGTTATTCCTTCATTTTGACCCTCATTTCTCATTCACTGACCCCTGGACAAAGAAACTGCTCATGTACTTTCCAGTTCAAAATTATTAATTCTTGAAAGAATAAAAGTGAATTCAAAGGAGACAGAAAAGTTTTGATTTATGAGATAAGGTTTGGTATTTTTTTAATAGGACCACAAATGTTCTACCTCATGATAACTGAGATCATAGGTCTCTAAGTGAAGAGTATATTGGCTTTCCCATGCCAAAGGCAAGATGATCATACCTTCCAATATTAGTAATATTTGAACCACAAAAGGAATGTAGCAGGTACTTTGTCCTTAAATCATCTCATATGTAGTTCCAAGGTTATTATTAAAACATGGCTTCTGTATATAAGTTAATTTCCTAAAATGCTCTCTGTAGAAAAGTCACACCAGGACCAACCTCCAATAATATGCATATCTTTATTCTCTACCAATGTCTACACTTTACAACACAGAAGTAACTTACAGTCTACAACCTTTTATGGGATCTCTTATTTTTTTCATTTCTGTTATGTTAATGAGAGAAGAGTAAAACAGGGAGGCTATATAATTAACCTCTTCAATCTACAAGTTGAACAACCTGGAAACAGCACACAAAGAAGTCAGTACACGGAGTCTTCTGAGAGCATGTAACATGCTGCTTTTAATCAACACCACGGAATAAAAGCAAATGAGAAACAATTTCCTCACCACAGTGCTAATGGGGACTGACTAACAGCACAATTAAAAATATGCTGTATGCCCTCCTCCATGGTAGACGAGAGACGCCTACAGCTAAGACACAAACACACTAATCAACACATGAAAACACAACATACAGAATAGATCTGTTATTTGATGTGACATACACTTTATATGCTTTAGAAGAATTTGAAACACTTCAGTACCTGTTCCTTGAAGTTGTGCTATACATGATTCAGCTAAGTTTGGAATTAGTTAATATGCAATTTATATGTAATTCATACTGGCACAGTCAGGGTTCTCTGTTCCATGTTGAAATACCTGCCTGCAAAACGTTTAGAGAGCCAAATACATAATTCTGTGAGAAATGGCTTTAAAGGAAACTATTTAAAGTCATTTCTAAGCTATTTCATAATTTCATGTGCGTCACTGACAAAAAAGAAAAGAAAAATCAACTCTGCCTATGAAACTGGGCTATCATAAACATCAGCCTGCAGATATTTCAAAGAAATCTAGTGAAATTTAATGAGATTGGTGAATAGTTTTTCCATACTTTTCTGAATAGACTTTTTTAAAATGGCTTCCCATCAGGCTTTTAGAAGATAAAAAGACAGCAATCTGATCACACAAAAGGCAAGGCTCACAGACTGCACAATGCAATTTCCAACACCGAACTGTCGGGATAGTCCCACCAACCAATGCACTTGTTTGTCACGTTTAATTTGAGATCTTCTCCTCTGCACCCTACCTCAGTCTTATTAGTAGCACCAACATATTTGTAATCTCCTCCAATAGAACATCAAGGGCTTATATTTCACCTTTTTATCCCACATAGTACAAATAAGAATTGCATTCAGTCACTATATACCATACACTTTAACCATTACTTTATTTACTGCAATTTGCTACCACTTCCTATCGGTTTTTCATTCATTTGCTTGAAAAGGGTCTTAAATTTACTTCTTATGCTCCAAAGTCATTGTTATTGCCATAGACCAGGCTGTCATCAGCTCTCCCCTGAAGGATTTCAAGAGCTTCTATCCTTTACCCCTCTATGTATCCAGTTAATCTCTAGGAGACTTATCTTCCTTAAACACTAGGTCAATAGGTCCTCTAAATCCTATATTGGTTCTATCCATGTTCTATTACAGTATTTGTCAACCTGTATTTTGTCCTCTATCCCACCCCCAATAATACACATGGCCAACTAGTTGTGAGATATTCTGCTTGTTACTGTCCCTTCTTGGATTCTCACTGTGTATATTAACATACTAAAATCTCTGAGGTCTTGAGGTGCAATAATCTATTTATCTTTCTTTAACCTGGTGTATTTCACACTTACTTGAACAAGGGACTTTTCCTCCCCTCAGAACACACACTAAAGAAGTAATTTGGGAAATTATATAATCATTCATCAATTCCATATACTACCCTGGCTTTCAATTCCCTTCTCCTTCCTATGAACCCATTGTCACTCAATTCTTTCTCAACCCAGTTGCTCATGTTGTCTCTCTACCTACCTCTGCTTCCTCTTTTATATACCGTCAAATTCTGCTAGTCTTCACAAGTTATACCTCATCCGTGAAATCTTCCATGATAATCTTCACCATCACCTCATCCTACACAGATCTCTTTCTTCCCCAGTTAGAGCATAAACTCCTTAAATAAAGTATCTTCATGTTTTAGGAAGTGTTTTCTTTACTTCCAGCAAAAGGTGCATGTAGTAGGGAGTAAATGAGTTTGTGTTGATGGCCATATTATGGCCACAACCTGACACAGAGAAATGACCATATAGAGTGAAATATCAACTACAGTCCACACACTGGCATACAGTACTGGTATGTTTTCAGAAAGAGGCCAATAAGATACTACTTATTTATTCTGACCATCTTTAACCAGTGAATTCACATGAAGAACTATGGCAAGCCAAAATGATTTAAAAACAAAGCTTTAGGCCCTTTTGCAAAGGAGACCAAAAAAAGTATATCTAAAACCACTGACATCTATTTTTTAGTCAAATGATAATCAAATCTTAATTAGTAACAAGTTAAAAGCTATATATATAATTAAATTAAATATATATAATTAAATCTTAATTAGTAACATTATAAGCTATATAGGTTAAAGTATTTATTTTAGTCTTTCTTTATATAAACAATAAAATAACCTCTATATATTTATTCTGAGTATAAAACAACTGTGAGCTAAATCAGTATAGACATAGTTATGCACACACACACACAGTGTGTAAGTATATATGTAACTCTGTATATATGTAAATAGGCATATATATGATATATATACAAGAGTCTCCTACAATACATATAAAGTTCAAGGGCTTTGTTATTTGTGATTTATAATAGTATTTAATTAAAAAGTGGTGCTAATGAGGCACAGGTGAAAAAAAGTCATTCTGAGCCAGTTGATTTAATCTTGAATTTGCAGCCTTCTCCTATAACCCCTAGTCTTCTAGCTACCCCACAAAATAATCAGAAAAATTAATCTTTTGAGAAAAACAAAGTATATACAGTAAGTACAACATATGTATTTTCTTTAGAGAAAATATAATTAGTTTGTATTCAAATGCTATTCACACACAAACTCACTAAAAGAATATACCCAATCATAAAATCAATTTATGGAATATTGGACACTAAAATTTTTCATGCCTAACAGATGTGGTAATGTCTTGCTTGCCATCTTTTTTCTTTTGAGATGGTTTCTAGCTCTGTCACCCAGGCTGGAGTGCAGTGGTGCAATCTCAGCTCACTGGAACATTAGCCTCCCGGGTTCCAGCAATTCTTCCATCTCAGCCTCCCGAGTAGCTGGGATCACAGGTGTTCACCACCACACCCAGCTAATTTGTGTATTTTGGGTAGAGAAGGTGTTTCGACATGTTAGCCTGGCCTGTCTCACACTCTGGCGAATCAGGTGATTCACCCACCTTGGCCTCCTGAAGTTCTGAAATTACAGACCTCCTTGTCACCTTAATACATGTCTGCCTCTTTGCCATCACTGAAAGGTATCCCCCACCTACCCTTCCTATCTCCCATTACACTATTCTGCATTTTGTCCAAAGCACAGAATGAATATTATTTCTTTTCTTACCATGAGCAAAGAATTTACAAAATCTAAGGGATGAAGCTTATTGTGTTTTCCCTATACATATTTTTTCACTCAGTTTGTGATGTATTTTGTATGTGTTAGGGGTATGGTCAGGAAACTAGATATCAAAGTAGGTATTTCAACAAATGAATTTTAATAGAGAAAGTTGCTTACAATTGTCAGAGGGCTAAAAGAGCAAAACAGCAATACTGAAGAACACAAAAACAAAATAGTAGCAATAAACGAATCTATATTTATTGAGTGCTACTATACATATACCACTCATTGTGCACTGCCTGAAGAGGGACAAAAACCCTTCCTTGCCCAATAAAAGATGACAATAATATAAAATAAGTGTGTATGAGTGTGTGTGTGTATACACACACACACATATATATACATATAACTTTTTAAAACTTTATCCATATGTGTATGTATATATACATATATGTAGAGAGAGAAAGAGTCAAATAATATAAACAATGTCGCAAGAGAGCAGGTGTTTAATTAACTGCTCTGAATGGTGTTGGAAAGGAGCTTGGAAACAGCAAATACTAGTAATTAGAAGACAAAAATTCTAGTCTGGCCACTATCTATTGTTTGTTGGCAGGTCCATAAAGCTCTTTTGGCCCTTCCAAAAAGTTTTACTACATGACCAATACTTTGTTCCTTCTATCTGTAACATTCTATAATTATTTACAATTTACAATGTGGAAGAAGTCACCTGACAGCAGCAGTATGTTGTAAAAACAACTTGAGTTTTAGAGCCAGACAGACCCAAATGTGCATTAAATTTCTAGGTTAGAATTCCTTGCTTGTATTTTTCTTGTTAGACTTAATGATGATTCTTTTAAGGCATGCAATACGTGACTACTCTGGAATAAATGGCAATTTTTGAATTAAAAGGAAACCACTGTTCTTCAGAGAAAGTTAGCTACATCACAAAATAAGATACTTTCTCATCTCTAAAATATTTAAACATATAAATTTGTCATCACTTCTACTAAATAGTAAACATCATGTCAAATTCCACTATACATTCAACTGCTCTGGGGAAGAGGTTTCATCTTTAGCACTTATACTAACTGGTGGGAATACAAAATCAACTCAATCAACGCTGTTGATAAAACAAAAATGTGTGCTGGATTACCTTTTTACATTTCAGATTACTAATATGTCCTTTTTTTTCCCAAAGGGACTAAAAATCTGGATGCCTACATACTGACTAAAGTGTCAGACTTGTAATGAATAAAATTCTATTTATTTCTTTTGTCTGTCATTAGTAGCAACTCTGAAATTCAAATCTGAACTAAAATATCTTACAATCATCTGCCAGAGAATCTTAACTGTACAACACTTAAAAAAAAACACAATACTGATTTTAGGGATTTTGAAATACTTTTCTAAATGTAGGCACTACTTCACAGATTATTTCAAGTCTTCCTTTTACAGACATTTTATCCACCTTGATATAACATTAGCAAAAATAAAACAAATTTAGCTTTAAATTTTTATTTTATGTAATAAAATATAAAATAATTTAAAAATAATGTTTTTGATATCATTTACCCTTAAAAAATATAAAAAATCCACTAATAAATACAATAAATGGCCTTGGAATAAGATTGCTAAAATTTTTCACCCAATGCGAAAGGAAAGATTTTTTAAAAATAATATGTTCATTCTTCCTGGAAATACCAAAGTTAAACATCAAAAAAAAAAAGTACTGAACTTAAGGAGTTATTATTTTGTGAGTGGGTAAAATATTAATATTTCAATTTCCTGCAATACTCATTTCAGCTATTGGAAATAACTGGATTTTAAGTACATGGCAGAGAACTTGCAGCCAACATTAGCTTTCAGTTTCATCTTATACAAAAAGACTTTTAAAATGTTTACATTGCTTTGCCTTATTCTTAATGTAAGACAGAAACTAACAACATTATATTATCAACCTCTGTTTAGTACTATAATGTATTATACCATGTTTTAATATGACAAAGCTAAACTACTAAAACCAAATTGTTTTTAGTGTTTCATATTGTGAAGACAGTTCCTGCAATACACTTACAACATAATATAAAATAGCAAACAAATTTTCTAGTGAATTTTTCATAAACTATACAGTAAATTACTGTTTCTTTACTTTTCTTTGCTAGCCATTTAACATTAGATTTTGTATGACCACAGATTGTACTTCTGAAATGCTGTATAAGGCATGAAGGTAATAGTTTATTCAATGTAACTTAATAAACATTAAATGAGTGCTTTGTGGTTCGGTTTTAAAAACAAGAATCACTGAGTTTTTGGAATTTGAGAGCCAATGAGATTTCTGATATAAATTATTCTAAACCTTTCTTATAGTTTAAGAATTGTCACCTAAATAAGTTAAGCCCCTGGGTCAAGGTCACGCAGTGTGGTGTCATGAGAATACCTAGGATTTAGAGTCAGACAGACCTGATTACTAATCCAAGCTCTACTTCTTACTGTGCTACACTGTACCTGTAGCTGTATCTTTCATAGCCTTAGTTTCAACATCTGTAAAAGGGAAATAATAATGAGTATTTCATATGTTGCCATAGGCATATATTTAATAGAATATTATGTTACATAAAAGGATGGTAAACATTTGTGAAGCTCTGTCCTTTCAGAGAAACAGCTACATACAAATCCAGGTTTCTTGCCTTCTTGTCTGTAACTGACTCAGATGACATTCTGCTTAACTTACTGGCATCTTGTAATTCAAAAAACGTACTTTTCCCACATACTTTTGAAACCCATTCCAATTATGTGAATCTCACAGATTCAAACAGTACCTTTTACCTCCTATATATTAAATTAACATAATTAACTATTCAGAAGTGACTTTAATACAGTTTTTCCATTCTATTCATTAGCCTCAGCTTTTTCCTTCCTTGAGGTTAAATTTTTTTAACCATTAAATTATTAATAGGGTTAATAAGCAAGTATATTCCTCTTGATAAATATAATGGATTACTAAATTCATATTAAAAGGAAATACAAATTTTTAAAGACAAATAAACTGTCTCAACTGTGATTGCCAAGGGACTCCTTTCCCGAATAATCAGTTTGGTACAATGACTAAAAAAAGAAAGAAAAAAAAGGTTGTTCTGTCTTTCAAATAATGTTTAAGTCCTGTAAGAGAATAGCGTTTTCAATTTTATTAGAAAAACTACAGTTCCACTTAACGCAAAGAAATTTTTCATGTTACAGATCTTTATTATTTAAATAATAATTAAGAAAACATAGCAATGATAGTCTTAGTTCTCAAAGCCTCATAAAATTGTATCATAAGAAGACAAATGTGGAACAGTGAAAGAAAACAACTGGGGAAAGCTGAACAAAGTCCCTTAAAGTTTCATTTGTTAGAAAAAAAGAAATATATTTATGTATATGTATACGTATTTCTGTTTTCCCAAAGAAGTAAATATCTTTCATTATATTGTACCTATAAATGAAGGGCTTTAGAAATCTTTACTTACGTTTTGCTAATCACAAAACTTAACACAAGATTTTTCTGTTATGTGAAAATATGACTGACATGCAGTATTCTTAGTTGCTAACAATAAATGGAAACACCTGTGAAAATTACACAGGACAAAAATTAAGTTGGATCCAACAATGACTAGTTCTTCAGAATAGAGTACAATGACATTTCTCTCTTTAGAATCAAAGACTTGTTAAATGTCCTATAATTGTTAACAACAGGGATGCTCTAACGCTTTTCCTGAATAACAGAAAACAATCTCTGATTGTAGAGATTAAACGCAACATTCAAGTCCAAGTAAACTTAGGTGTATAGTAACAAATTGCAACTATAATAAAAGTATATTCTAACCCTCTCTTTCCTTTCCCAAGAGGTTCTGAGAGGAAGTGTGCACTGATTTCAGCTAGCTGGAAGAAACTTCCATCATTTTTGAAGGGAAAAAGTAAAACAGCATCTCCATTTCCACCTATAAGCAAGAATACATGTAGACACCGAAGGTACTGACTGTTGAGGTAATGAGAACCACAGGACAGATATAAGCCAATAACATGCCTCCTTCTTCATCATAGTTTTAAACTGAAGACCAGACTCTCCTCAACAGAGGGTTTCAAAAAGGTCACACCTTGCTGAAAAGTGACAAACCCACAATTCCCATGTGCCATTACTAAAACTATGATTTTAAAACAAAATCGGTTCTACAAAGTAAATACCATTATCATCAATTTCCAGATAAAGAAAGTGAAGTTTGAAGAGCCTGCCTACATGTACAATTACAGTCAGTAACGTGTGGCAGAATCCATACCCTAGTCTGATTCTAAAGTCCACGTCCTTAGCCAAAATGTCATGTTCCCCCCATATTACCAGCAAAATGACATTTGCCCACCTTAGTCTTGAAAGAACTAATGTAAACATAAATTATTTCTTGGTTTGTCTGTCATATGACTAAATGCAGCCTCTGGTAGGGTTGTAAATACAGTAGAGAATTACTAAAGGAATATAAGCATCCACTCAATTAAAATAACATTGTATCTTGTCTTTTTCCTGAGTCATATGTGACTTTTCCCCCTCAGTTGGTAAAAACTTAACTAAAACTAAGACATATCACTGTGAAACAGGTGAAAGGAGTCTCAGAGAAAATCACCTTGCCCACATTTATAACTCCACGGTAATGGTTTTTAACTATGTGTATCCAGAAAAATATTGCATAGAATTTTTGAGTTCAGATCCTCTGAAGACCATATATTCACCACATATAGGTCCGGGTACAACCCTGATTTATGAATACGTGAAAGTATAAGCAAATTATTGGTAGTATTAACTTCCTTACACATTTGCAGCCTGGCTCAGAGGCCCAACTACTTTTGTCTTTTGTCTTCTTCCCTCCTTTGAAGTACTTCTTAACTGTCTCTTATTTGACAGACAGTTGCTCTCATATCGGTTTCAGTCTACCAAGAGGCCCCACTTAATATCTGGGGTAAAGTGAAACAGTGGAGAAGAAGGCTGTTAACCAGCCGCTGACTCCAGGAGGTTGCTGCTTACTATGGCATGTGCTTCCCATGCAGAGAAAAGGACTCACTGAGAAGCCTGACAAAGAGGGACAACTCTCCAAGGAACTGTGAAACCAACTCTGACTAAGCTAAAAGGGTCCAAAAGGAAATTCTAAGTTTTCACCAAAAACAGCATTTCATACAACCAAGTAAAGGACAAAACGACATACTGAGATTGTTCATTAAAAGTGTTTTTGCTATGTTTATTTAATGAAGTTATTCATGTTGAAATATAGTTATCCCAAATGGCAAAGCTTCCCTGACCAACAACCACAAAATAGAATATCACTGCTATTATGTATTATTTTTTAGCATACATTCTTACAAATTATACATGTGAGAAGCAGATGGTGAATGTTAACTTGGCACCATTGCACCATCTGCTCTTTGTATAGCTAGTTAAGTTCATAACATTAATCAAAGATTAAAGAAAGACAATGATATTACTGAAACTTAGGGTCAGCTTCTTTCTTGAACTCTTCGAACATTTGTAATACATATACCAAGCACCTTCAAGGGTAACATTCTGTTTGTGATACAAAAAATCTATTTTAATTTCATCATATTAAATAAAACCTAAATAAAAGCATTCATCTTCATCACTTGTGCCAATTATTAAAGAATCCCCCCAAAAATCCTCATTTGTTCAATATTTACTAAACCTATGTGATTTTTTCTGTAGAATTTAAATTTTGTGTTTGTAGATTATCTGATTAAATTAACATATGACAGATTATGATGTTATTACTTAAATAAGACCTTAGTCCATCCTCTATCCCACGTTCACATTATTCTAGGCTTAATGAATGATGAATTAGTCTCAGAAATGTGTGAATATATGAAGAAAAGAGGGGGAAAGGCAGCACCTCTCTTTTAGGATGCTCCTTAGAAAAGGAGAAATTGATTTCAGTTTTCTCTGTGGTGATATGGCAAAAAGCACATCCTGTAAAATTACACAATACAAGATGTCACTCAAACTCTGTATACTCTCTTTGCCTCTTCCACCTCCAATTTATAATCATTAGATTTAAATTCTACAGTAATAAGGCATTTTACAACTATTAGTATACTCATGTCAGGTAAGATCAAAAGCTAAATCATACTATCCTTCAAGACATATATCCAAAGAGGCCTAGTCAGTACGACTTAATCCTCACAAAGTCCCAGTTTGTTCTTCCAGTTACAATTTAGAAAATTGTACTAAATGTGTTGGTTTATATATCTTTCTGAAGTACTAAAACTAGGAGGATATAGCTGGGTCCACTAGTGATCTCTGTATTCAGCAAGAGAAGCTAGTCCACATTAAGCACTTGATGAATAATGAATTACCAGATATAATTCATAACTTCATTTGTAATGGAAATATTCTGCTAGTTATAGAATGTGTATAATTTATTTGCTGGTCACAGATGTGGACCCAGTTTGGGCTCTGAATAAACTGTTTATATTGCATTTTAAAATTTTTAAAAAGCAAAAGTCATTGATTTGTGATTGCTCTATCACTTTATTCAGACTCTAAATATCTCTGGCAATATCTTTGACAATATCTCTAAGAATAAAAATTAAATAACTTGTAAATAAAACGAAAACTATGCCCACACATCATTTCAAAACTGGAACAGTATTCACTGATATCATTCATATAGACAGGATAAATGAGAGAGCATTATCTAAATGGACTCTTAACAACTTCAGTCAGTAAATTTAACATGATAAAGCAGTATTAATTGGCTCTTCCCTCATTACTTTAAATGTTAAATCTTGAGTCTTGCCCTTTGAAAAATTTTGCTCTTATAGTCACTATGACTGTCTACAAATTGCTTAATTCACTCAACCAACATTTAATGACCTTAGCTTGACTGTCCCCCTAAACTACTACATACTTGAAAGTAAACCCTGTGTCCAATTAATCTTTTTATTTTACACCATGCATAAGGCAGGACCTCATATGTATGTAATTAACCAGAAATGAGTACTATGTGAATAAAGGATGCTTTATCAAGACAATACAAGAAACATAAGAAGCATGAGTCCCAGGACAAGATGTAAAGTTACACAGGATGAAGTTCCTTTTATTTGTTTCTTTGAGGAAACAGAAAACTTCAAATGTTACAGATTAAAAAAATCAATGAAATGAGAAAGACTATCCCTTGTGACTTCCAATTTTGCTTCTCTCCTCTGTGGGAATTACCCTGTCCTAATTCACTGCAAATCCATATTCAGAAGCCCATCCACTAAAACATCTCTTACAACAAACCTTCTAATTTCTTATTTCACCAGAAAGCAGAGGTACTCTGTCGTTGTTGTTAGTTTTTTAAAAAGGAAACAGCATAATGGCTCCATGCTATTTATATATGCTGCTCGCAAGTGAAAATTAGTTTCCCATTTTCAGTTTAACATAAATAGTTCACTTAACACGAGATACAAATATATGCACTAGAAGGGCGACAACAAAGCTAGAAATTAACCTAAGATACAGACCCTCCTCTCTAATATTTTATTTATCATACTTTTAATAATTTTGTTTTAAAATTACTAATAAAAACAATTCTAACATCTTATTGTCAAACAAAACTAAGTAAATTCTGCAATTATAAAAGTAGTCTATTATTTTAATGTTAATTCTCTAAAGGTAATTTTTTTTTAAATTAAGCAATTGAAGATGGATTCTCTGTCCCTTGTTTTTATATATTACACTTCTGTATAGTGCCACATTTAAATACTTTGTTCAAAAGTGTACTAAACTATTAAAGGCATGTTTAGCTTGTTACTTTATTTTGGTACCATAACCACTGGTACTATATTAATGTTACTTTTTCACAAGGAAGGCATTAAATAAACCTCAAATCTACTTTACTGTTTTCACCTTTCTTTTCCTGCTCCATTTTTTAAATAGGATAATGAATAATTTTAAATCATATTCCTCTCTCTTTTGGCTATACTATAGTCACTGGATGGTTAAAGTAATTGGTGGATTACCAGTATGCCTAACAATTTATATTCTTTTCTGCCCCTGAACAAGGATACTAATTCTCTATTCACCACTCTTGTCATATCAAGTTTTTATTGAAAACATATTACAAAATGTAACAAAGGTACATATATATAAATTCTTAATAGAGATTTGCTATAAGCACAATACAAATGCCATATTATTCTGCTGTCTGACTAGAGTCAGAGTCTACAGAGTTAACTTTCTAAAAATCACCTAATGTCTGAAGAGATTCCTACCAACCAGGAAAAAGGATGTTGTCTTTCAGGTTACAATAGCCAAGTCAGCAATGCATAAACTCAGCTATTATTCATTCTGGCAAATCACCACTGGCTGGATGATTTACAACAGGTTGCTAATTACATGATGGCACATAAACATTGCTAGAAATTGTAAATACTCACCTGCTAGAAATGTAACTACATATGCTTTAAAAGTAGAGCAATCAAAATCACTGGCCAACTCCAAAGGCAAATATTTGACTAGCAAGGCTGCCTGCTCACTAGTATTAGTGCTCACTGATACCAAATAAACCATATCTACAATAGAAATTTCCATTTAAATGACTATTAAGAAGTCTGATGAAGTTAAACTGTGATTGCAGAGTTTTAATGATGGAAGGAGTCAACAGACTTATTATGAAACAGCGTTGTGATTTGGGAATATTAGCGGATAAGATTGTCTGGTTCCATGAGAAGCACTGTAATGTTAGAGCTATGTTCCTAGGGTAGCAGATTCAGTCACAGAGACTCATAGAGATGGTAAGAAACACAGGAAAATAACCATTTATTGCTTCCCATCTGTGAAACAAAGCACTGAACTAGAGCGTTTTAAGTATATTATTTTGTTTAACATTCTCATTAATGCTGTAAAGTAAGTTTTATCATTGCTAAGTGTTTTATGCTTGAAGAAACTAAGATTTTGAAAGATTAATTTAGCCAGGGTTACTGAAGTAAGGAAGAAGTGGGATTAGAATCTTACTATTTCTTATTATGAAACTCATTCTAGCTCTGCTATGTGCCCTTGGATGGGTTGCTTAATGTTTCTGAGACTGAGTTTCCATATCATACACTAAGCTCCATGTTAGTTTTCCATGTTAAATACCTCTACGTTATTGTTTACTCCTGATTCTTTTAGTTTTGATGTCTTCTTCCTGTGAAGGGGTGTTTAATAAAGGTAACGTATATTTATGTTCCAAAAAGAAAAATATTAAAGAAATGGGTTAGTTACTACCACCCTGGATTAGAGAAATAGAGGTCTCCATCTACACATACAAGACATTTTCATCAGAATTCCACATTCAGCGACAGAATCCAATGAATATATTATAAGCCATTTTATTTGACATCTAGAACCTGCTTTCAGTTTGTTCTGAAGTTCACAAATATTTGTTTGTAGGCTGTGCTAATCTCACAAGTGTTTAAATCAGAAACTATGGTTTAATATATTAAAAGTATTTATCATATAGAATTGTTCTGATTATCAACATAATCAATGTGTAAAATATTTAGAACAATGCCTGGCACGCAGCATGCTCTATAAAGTGCTACTTAATTTTATGATGTTGGATGATGTACCGCTTCATCCATGAAACATACAGAACATTACACAGAGATGACAGAAAATGTTAACAGCTGTGTAAATGGAGTCATGCTTACCATAAATACATTATTTGTTTATTTTTAGCCCAACAATATTAGGTACTGAATATGTTTTATTTGTATATAGAATGTACCCAGGAACAATTTTGTTTCTCTACCATCAATGTGGACAATTTAGAATGTAACAACATTGTTTCCAAAAAGTGACCAAAAATAATTTCTCTTAAAACCATGTCAGCAAATGAAACTGTTCAAAAAAGTTTATTAATATTATATCCAAAATATTAATATTATGTTCAAAACAAATTTACTAATATTATGTCCTACTTCTCCAGAGGCAGGGAAACATAAAAAATTCCCTGAAATAAGTGGGTACCCAAAAATTATTTGCTTTAAAAACAAATATATAAATAAATGACTCTTAAAAAGCACAATTCCAGTAGTAGTGAAGCAGCCAAAACAATACAAAACCAGTTACCAAAAAGTCCTAACTTTAATCAAGAACCCTGAATCTGAAGTATAAATACTAAATTCGCATAAACGTATTGATGGTCAAAAAACTATAGAATACAGTAGGCTAAGGAAAACTTCACAAAGAAAGTGGACATTGTAGGGGATTCTTAAGGAACTATGCAAATGGATTACCACTGAGGTAAGAAACTATGGTCTAGATACCTCAAGGTCAACTTGCCCAAATTTTTTGATGAGCCAATGAACTACTAGCAAGCAAAAGGAAAGAGGAGGGCCAGACAAGAGGCAGCTGCGCTGTCCACAGCTGAGTATTCCTCTCGGACAAGAAGATAACCTACGTGTTCTCTCAAACCTCTCAATGTTTCAGACACTAATCTCTCCATGTTTCAGACACTAACTTCCCAAGTGGAAACAGTAAATACAATCTAAATTAGAGTTAGCCAATCAATGAACTCTGCTTTGATAAGAAATGTGTGACTTTAAACAATAAATACCTTTCTTCCTGAGGAAGTATTCATTCCTTGGAATTTTTTTCTTTTTCTTGTTTATCTACTACTGAGCTAAACCATTCCTTTACCACCCATTTCCTGGTGTCCTCATCTCTCTACCTGAAGAGCCACAGTGAGACTTCCTTTGCTAAAACTCAGAAAGAAAGGAGAAATGGTAAGCCTGGCTCTTCTCTTAAGCTTGACAATGAAGTCCAGTTTCCTTTCTTGAAAGAAACAAAATATCTGGGAAATTAAATGTCTTTTAGAAGAAACCAGACAAGCAAACTGTTGAAGCCCAACAAACCACACTCCAAGTCAGGATTCCTACCCAGGTCTTCCTGCTGCTAAAAGAAGCATCTAGCATTTGCCCGGAATCAGAAGACCTGGTTTCTGCTTCTGACTCTTCAGCTGACTCCATCTGGAGAGCAGATGACACTTCTTAAGCTCTGCTCTGGGTTTCCCCATCTACCAAAAACGAGAACCAGAGGTGTTCTTCAGTTTATATTTAAACACTTTTATTGCTGCAAGCACTTCCTTCTCTTGACTCTAAGGAAAGTCACACTACAAGTACTTTCCTCCTCTATCATCATCTCTCTCCAGCTACCCCCCACATGCCAACGGTTTCCTCTCATGTGTCCTTGAGATAAAGTCAATTTTGGAAACTAGTCAGAACATGGGTCATGAACCCAGCTGATAGGAATCTCACTGCTAAGCACTTCTGTTTTCAATATCATGGTTTTCTTCTTCCTTTCACATTAGACAGAAAGGCAATCATGCATTCATTCATTCATTCAGCAAGCATCCACAATGACCCTGGATGCCACATGGACCAGGATCACCAAGGAGATCAATAAATCCCAGTAACTTCGGGTGCCCTCTACTCCACATACCAGTCCCCACAGTGGGCACCATTTCCTTACAGGTCAAAACTTTGTTCTTTTTGTACTAGATAATTTATTTCTGGAGCTAAAAGTACTATTTCTGAGTGCTAGTTTAAAAAATGTGTTTCTGGCATGATGTAAAAGTAACCTGGTCAGGATTATAAAGCACATGATTATAATGTCAGATTTATTTATAGTGTTACATTGAAATCATTATGTTCAGGAAAAATTTATAATTCTGAAAGGTGTTTTAGATTCCTTGGATTAAAGTGCGCACACACACACACACACACATCACTCACACACAAACATACACACACATACCCCCCCATCCTAAAGGATGCTGACTTTCCATCAGAGCAGAAGATCTGGACTGGCGAATTAAAGTAAGTTGTGAATCTTCTGCCACATGCTCTCTTCTCTTACACTGGTATATAGTGAATATGTTCCCATTTTATCAGCTTCATGCCCCTAAGACCTGTGAATGCCACACAACCCATTTCCAAAGTATATATTAGTAAAGTACTAAGAGGTGTCAAGGCATGGAACATAAGAAAGTTCCTGACCAATGTTAATACTAATTACTCTTCCCTTTCAAGGCAGAAACTGCTGTTTTCAGCCTCAGCCAATTTTAGCTATATGACCAGTTTAGAAAGCATTATTGTAAAATGCAGTTTTACTGATGCCAGTTTTTCTTAATGACTCATCTTTAGCTGCACAGACTTCTGAAGATGGGGCAAATCATATCAACAAGAAAGGTACAAACTGCTATTCTAATAAAGATCTTGACATCACAGGATTTCATACTGTCTCTAATTTAAATCTTCCCTTAGATATTCATAGATGGCAAAGAAATTTTGTGTGTGTATGTCTGTATCTGTGTATGTGTAGTATCAGAAATATAATAACTTTAAAACTTTCTTAACATACTGGCTTCCTTTCTGGTCTTACAGAACACTTCATATCAAAACAAAACAAAGATATTCAAAGTCTAGCACAAAATTTAAATGACCTGATAAAATAATTCCTTAAAATAGAACATCTGATTTCCCAGAATATCTTTTTCTTCCTAGCACCATTCTAGTCCGTATGGAAATACCCAAGATCTCTGTAGAATGACAATAGATCATCTAAATAAGCATTTATATTAAATTATATTAAGCATTTATATTAAATGGTCCTTCATCAAAAAAGGCAAGCTCTGTTTCAACCCTGATGAGCCAAATTATTAATTAAATGATGAATGCCAGCAACATATTGTAGCTTTAAATTTAAGTTCAAACTATCTTCTTCCCCTGAAAAAGCAACGTTTGTTCATCAAAAGTAATTCATTCTATAAACTGCTCTCTGACAATCTTACCAGTCATTTCTCAATTATTATCATCAGGTAAATTATCCTCATAAAAGGTGTTAATTTATCTTTCTAATTAACATTGTCACCTACTTTCTGGTTACTCCTATCTGGAGTAAGCTAGAAGGAAGTTCTATTAAGTAAATCACTTAATTACTTTCACTGTCCTAAGGAAGAAATGAGATCTTAAAGAAAAAAAAAAAAAGGAAGAGGGTCAGAGGTATCATTTTCGCAGAAAAAGCACAAGCCAGTGGCAAAAGAACAAATGATTTTTTGACAAGATCTTCCACAAGCAAGGTAACATTATCACTAACTTCTACTGAGCATTTACTAGATAGTAGTCTCTAGCTAAACACTTTATATGTATTGCTTTACTTAATTTCCATAAAATTATATAAGGTAGGTACAACTAGTATCTCCTAGAGATAAGGAGCTAAGGTTTGGCTAACAAAATCATTTAACCAAGTTTAAAACAGGTGGTGGAATTGAGGCTCTTACAGCATATCAGAGGTAAACTCCTTCAAGAAATATAAGAGAGTATCGTCTGTTTTCAATCACGGTGAAGGAATATTGTAGAAAATTCCATAAAAGAAGACAATAGGCTGAACGTGGTAGCTCACACCTGCAATCCCAACACTTGGGGAGGCCGAGGCAGGCAGAACACCTGAAGTCAGGAGTTTCAGAGCAGCCTGTCCAACATGGTGAAACCCTGTTTCTACTAAAAATTACAAAAAAAAAATTAGCTGGGTGTGGTGGCAGGTGCCTGTAATCCCAGGTACTCGGAAGGCTGAGGCAGGAGAATCACTTGAACCCGGTCGGTGGAGGATGCAGTATGCCGAGATCGCGCCAATGCACTCCAGCCTGGGCGAGAAAAGCGAAACTCCATCTCAAAAAAAAAAAAAAAAAAAAAAAAGAAGGCGACATATCTAGCATTGAGCACGGCAGACTCAAATCCTTAAATCTGAAGCCAAAATATAAATTTCTTTACTCTGTAGTATTTGTAACAAGACATTCTGTCTGCCATAATATAACATTATTGCTGCATAATATTTATAACTTCCAGATTTTAAAAGACATGTTCCAAACATCTGCATTTCTTCCAGAGCATTTGCAAACACTACGTAGTAATCGTTAAAAAATAAATCGAGCATTCTCATTTATAAATTACTGATGTAGTATATTTATTTTTACTTTGAAAAACAGAACTTTCTTCAAAAGTATCAATGATCTCACTGTGAAGCATAACCAGAAATTTACATATAAGTTTAGAAATATATAATTAACTGTGAACTCTGCCAATTCCCAAATTAAGTATTAAAATCATCGAGTTTTCTCATACATTCCTCTGAAGAACTCATTTTTTAAAAAAAAACTTACAATGTGTGTTTTAACATCCCCTCTGCCCCCACCACAATAAAAAAATTATCAAAAGAAATAATCAAGCATGAATGATTTATTCTTCCCAGAATTATTTAAGGTAATCTATTCTAACTACTATATTTTTCTATAGGATTAAAGTACAAAATATTCAGAGAGTTTATTAACCTTCCTATATAATAACAAAAAAATACATTTGATGAATTTAATAAGAATTATTCAATGAGTTAAAAACTGACCAGGAATTAAGGCAAATACAAAGACCAATATTTACCTCAGTAGTTTTTATATTACATTTATTTAAGAGGAATCCACCAAGTCCCTCCTTATTTTACTAATAATCACTCTGCAAATAGGCAATCAAAGGCAGTTTTATCTATACTTTATAGAAGCACTTTAAGCGAAATCAATAACAAGAGTACACACACACACACACACACACACACACACAGTCTTCTCCCTCACCCAAGATTATGATATTTCTGGACTGGTAATGTCTTAATTCATATCACTAAGGCACATTCCAATTAAAACAACCCAAATTTAAGGATATAAAATGATTTACATTGTTGAAATCTTTAATTTTTATTTAGTTTTTTGGCTGGATTTCCTTTTAATATCAGGAAAAGAGTATTTAACAAGTGGATGCTTATTTTCTCTTAAACTAACAATAAAAATTAAATGGCACTTCATATTGTAAAGGCTAGAAGGAACCTTAGGAGTGGCTAGTTTGAGCTTCTCATTTTGCAGAAAGGAAAAGGAGACAGAGACAGGTAAGTAAGTTGCTCAAGCACATGAAGTTAGGTGGACTCTAAACGTCTGAGACTATGATGGAGGTCACCTAACTCTCATGGTTTTATTCTCCTGGAATATGGCATATACCATAACTTTCAACTGTTTGTGTGACTTCTAGGAGGAATCAGAAAAATGCAAATCAAATTGATGTGAGCTATAACCATCCACCTGACCCCCTTACTCCCATAGTTAGTGGGCTGGCTAGTTTGCTAAGAAGAAAATTTGCATTGTTTTATGTCCATGGTTAACCTGCTGGCCCTAGTAGGCTCTCTGTCAGGGGAAGGGACAGAAGAACAAAGGGAGGAGGAAGGCGCAGGAGAAACAACACTGAACATATACCAACATAATCCACAGCAGCTACAAAGATAATGAGCTTATGATGCACAATGCAGTACGTACTATGTGTGTACATGGTTGGGAAGATAAAATTAAGCTGAAGACTTGGATCCCATATACTTAAGAGATATTTTCATTTTCTTTAGCTTTCAATCTTATCACGAAAAAATTCAGGATAAACACATGTCACTATGCAGTAGTAGCTATTACAGAGTATGTGGCAACATGTCATCTTTGTTCCATGTCAGAAAATCTTAAGACTCACTAGGCCAGTGACCCTGTAACTCTGGTGGAACAGTCCAACTGTCTCAAGATCTTATACAAAAATTAATGCTTAGACCCCATTGCAGATAAATCAGAATTTCTGAGTGGGGTCTAGGCATCAGTGCCATTCCTGTTCCTGTTACTGCAAAATATGTGATATGTCTCATTCAATCATGTAAACAAGAAACAAATGTTTTTGTTAATACTTCCTTCATAAAGGGCAATAAGGCCTCACAAGAAAAGACAGACAAGATGTGTTTCTAACTTTCAATAAAGGGAACTTTCTAAAATTTTGAATTATTTATAACCAGCAACTTTACATTTCCATTCTGATATCATCCAGTGGTTTTTATTTAATGTTTACCATTATTAATGGAAAAATGCAACACCCTGCCCTGCCCCCACCTATATGCACACACAAAAACCAGAGTGCCCTGCTGTCCACTAGAAGCATCCTCCAGACTGACAAGGGTCCACTGATTAAATTGTTGGTTCTTTTGTTCAGACAGGAAAAAGATCCACTTAACTACATTATCATCTAACACATATTAGCTTTATTTTCTATTGTTTACATTAAGGTACCATTTAAGAATTTTATATAAATGGAATAGGAATTATACATATATATATTTTACATAATATATGAATATATTATATATATATGTATATATATACATATATTCTCCTAATCACTCTTCTCACTTTACCAGATTAGATATTCTGGTCAGTTAGGTTGACAGAGAAGATGGTAAAAAGGGTGCTTTAACTCCATAATGATTACTCAGAAAAGTCTCCATCCAAAACCATCTTAGTATATTGATTCTTGCAGTATTTAAATTAGCAATTTGATAGACTAGACTATGTCTATGTCTAATCTTTGAAATAGACAGAAAAAGTAGTATGTCTTCATATAAAGTTCTTCATTTACATCAAATAAATTAAATAAGGCATGAATCCCATTAGTATCTTTTTTACCCCATAACTGTTGCTGTTGTCTATCCTTCCTTTTTATATTTTATGACCCAGCACTTATTAGTAAATGAGAAATCACTGTAGCTTACAGTTGCATTCAAATTTTTTGACTTTTTAATTTCAATAGAAATTGAGTCTTTTTTTAAATATGAAAACTGAAATAACTTCTAAGGCATATGAAGAAAGTTAAAATCAGCACCATAAGCCAGGGTAAAAAAAGAAAGTTAACAAAAAGAAAATAATAAAATTTAAAAAAAAAAAAGGCAGGAAGAAAAAATTCCTTTGGAAACATTCTTCATGAATCAGTTTTTTGAGACCAGCAAGCAAGCAATCATTATTCAACATACAGAAAAAATGCAAAATGTACAAATGCACGTAAAATTCAGTTTGTTCTGCAGAGATCTTTGTCCCTCAGTCTCAGTGTAAATCAAGATTCTAAAAGCCCAGTTGCACAGTGACCTTCAATTTCTCACAATGGTTTATTAAGTTCAAATAATCACTAAGCAAATATCTCATTTAATCGTTCAAGAAAAGACAACAAACTCAAATGCCTATAGGAGCCAGAGGAGGCAAAGTAAACAAAGCATGCATGAGGGAAGAGAGGATAGAGGAGGCAAGGCAGAGTCCTGCTGATATATGCCCTTATTAAAGGAGGTAACTGTGAAAAGTCAGGTTTTATCTTCTGAACCTCCATGATGGAAACTAATACAAACTGTTTAAATCTCTTTGAGGCCAAACAATTCTCTCTGAGGGGAAGGTAGCTTTCAGCTCTGGTCTAGATGATTAAAAGAAAGAAAATTAAGGAGAGAAACCAAAAATTTCTATTACCATTATATCCATAAGCATTCTGCTGAATTTTGTTGTCTTGTAGGTTATAATTTGTTAACCATATGAAACCATGCAGTAGGGCCTGTTTTCCAGTCTCCCTCTGTCACCCAGGCTGCAGTAGTGGTGCAAACAGGGCTCACTGCAGCCTCAACCTCCTGGGCTTAAGCGATCCTCCTGCCTCAGCCTACTGAGTAGCTAGGACAACAGGTGCATACAACGAAACCCAGCTACTTTAAAATTTTTATTTGTTTATTTATTTATTTATTCATTCATTCATTCGTTTATTGAGGCAGGGTCTTGCTCTGTTGTCCAGGCTGGTCTGAAACTCCTGGGCTCAAGCGATCCTTCCATCTCAGCCTCCCAAACTGCTGGGATTACGGGTGTGAGCCACAGCACCCAGCCCAGGTCTGCTGTCTTCAAGATATTTAATCTTGCGTTTTTCTTATTAAATTGACCTGAATCCCAAATAATAGAAAGACTATCACAAATACAGAGGATAGGCAAAAAGAAGGCTGAACCACTTTTAATGAATGGTGATTCAAGGAAAGGATAACTAAACATGAATCATTTGGAAACATGAATAAATACAAACAATGCGTTTTTTTCACTCGCTTCTCTGCTTGTGTCAGCATTTTGAAGGAGAAACTGAATGAAAGGTAAGGAGTGGCTAAATTGCAAACTCAAATGATAAGCTAAATAAAGAGCACATAAGATAAATGGCAGATATACAAACACTGCTTCAAAACAAACAACTCATTTACCCTGATCTCAAAATAACAAAACTAAACTGTCTAATAAACTCCATTGGTCATTTGCTTACAAAGTAGTGAAAGACCTAGTTATATAATAGAGGTGAGTAACAAGGAAAGCAAAACCTATAAATGTCTTTAAGATAATGCAGCTCCCATGCACTACCTGGGGAAAAAAAAAGTGTTTCTGTAATGTATTTATGACAACATACGGAGGGATTATGGAATTGATTTTACCTCTGCCTGTGGATGAATCATCTTTATATATAGAATTACCTTTAAGAATACAAAGATTAAGTAAATTTATACTTCAACAGGTTAACTTTCTTACCAAGTGACTTAGATATAATAATAATCAATAATTCCAGCCTGTTTTAACAATTTCTTACCTCACCTATTTCCTCTATGTTTCACCAAAACTCTGTATTTTCTTTCATCAGTTCCCACAATCTTATTCTTTTTTTTTTGAACTCTGTCAAAATATGTAAAGCTAGTAAATTACTAATAGAAAATAAAGAGAATAAAAGTTACATACAATTCTGTATGTTTGCTATTTATATCTTACATCATACATCATAAGTACAAAAAAACAGGATTATTAAATGAATGCATTTGTCAACCAAGTTATTAAATTCAGTATGGCCTTAGCTATGTTTACTACCACATTATAAAAATGATTACTAGTACATTACAAAAAACAGTTAAATTATTATAGAGAGTGACTAATCTTTCTCATTTAAAATCACAGCATTATTTGGTCTATATTAACTATCCATTAAGAACAAAATAAAAAATCTATAATTAAGGATGACCTAATGAAATCCCAAGGAAATGTCAAGGCTGGGACAAACATGAAGAAATTCCTTTATATTGACAGACTCAGAGATGACTGGATGAGAAATAAGAGCACAGTCCCTACTAGATCAGTATGGACTGGTCTAGCAATTCAATCTGAGTTCAACTAGTGAAAGGATTTTAAATTAGGGGCTACGTGTATCAATCACAAACACATTCGCTAAAGAAAATTAAGAAAACAGTATCTTTTCAGCAGTACCTCTGGGTATAAAAGGAGAGAATAAGTAGCAACTGCTCAGTAATTATTGATTACTGATACTGTCCTCTCTCGTATAGAGAAACTGACTATTTCTTCATTTAAGCCAAAATATGTAAAAGCATGAGACAGACAAAAACCCCTAGCTGTCCTTTTCAGATTACCACTCCTAGCTGTCTATAGGCTATGGTGTGAAGTCAGACCTTATTACCAGTCTGCCTCTGCTCTGCGGTGTCCTCGGTTACCAAGGAATGAAATAATATGTATGGGCAGATTTCCATACCCTCAAACTGAGTGGGCGGACTCTAGAAAATGGAACTCGATTTCTTCAGTGTTAGAATAAAAGTATATTAGGGATAATTCATGCACTGTTCAGAATATGTATTAAATATAGGATAAGTTAATGGCTCATCAAAAGTTGAATAAAATTCTACTTCCACAGAATCAAAGGTTTTCATACGTCAATGTAACATATAATAGGTATGAATTATCCATAAATGTGAATAAAAGATTTTTTTCTAACCAGCATTTCTTCAGGGCCTATGATATGCTAGGAATTGTGTTTTATACTCGGGATTAGAATGTCAGTGTACTTCAGGTACTCATTATTTAGTGTGAAAGACAATCAAGTAATCAAATAATTACAGTACAGAAACTATGCTACGACTCCTTCTTTTGAGGGCCATAATTGCAGTACAGAAACTATGCTACGACTTCTTCTTTTGAGGGCTATAAGCATAAAGTTTAATGAAGCCCACACTATGCTGAGATGGGAGGCAGGAGGGGATAAGGGAGTCTGAGGAATGGCCTCTAAAGGAGAGGACACCTAATCTGACAAAGTGAAAGGAAATGTGTCCAGGCAGATGAAAAACCATGTGCAAACTCTCCAAAACAATGGTAGGCCTGATGGAGAAGCAAATGGGGACCTAATGATAGAGGAGGCCTTAACTTCCCTATTTAAGTAAAGAAAAACACCAAGAGATTTTAATCAAAGGAATAATATGCAGCACTACCTCCACACGGCATGCCTCAGCTACTGAACTATCTCTAAATTTGTCTTTACATTAAATACCTGCCTAACAGTTGAATCCATATAAAATCTAAAATCATATTCCAATTAACCTTTCAAAACTTAATCTCTTATTAACTAATTAATTGACCACACAAATATTTTCTGAAGGTGAAAATGTGTTTTGATGAAAAAAATAACTTTGAAAACGGGTGAGAGTGAGTGGTCAAGACAAAGGTACAGAAACAGGGCTATGGGGAAGCAGAGGGCAGGTTATGGGAAAGCAAATAATTGAAGCACCATCTAAGTGTAGTAAAATGTCAGTAACAAAAGGCAGGACAAAGAATGATGAAGCAGAAAGGGAGGTTAAATGCCTTTAATTTAATTTAGAAGCTAATGGAGTGCTAAAGTATAGTAAATGGAAAAGTGAGAAGTTGCATGAGAAAATCTACTGCATCTGTAGCCAGTGTGCAGGGGAAACTAGAATGAGGATATCCTTAAATGTGGGGGTATCAGAACAGGGTATTATAGTCAAGAGGCAATTTGGGCTTAAACTGATAATGGCTTTGGGAATGAAAAGAAGGCAACACAGACATTGTAAGTGATGGGTTCCAATGAGATCATCATGAAAAGGCAGGTGGAGAAAGCCATAAGAAGACAGTTAAAATCTAAAATTGAAGTTCAGAATTCATGTCAGGACTACACATTATATCATTGTAAATGCCATTCTTTCAGAGGTGACCACTAATAACCATTATTATACTCCTTTCAACTTTTTCCCCACTTCTGCCTCGTTAATGAAAGCTCCTTGAGGGTAGGAATCCTGTGTTATTTTTATGCCAACCTCTGGCCCAATGTCTAGGAGACATTTTAAAAAATAATTATGAAAGGATCTATGATATCTTAATTAAGCTGATAAATATAAAAGCACTTAATGTAGTACCTGACATAGAGTAACCATTCAATAAACATTACCTAATATCATTAGCATCATCCCTTTTGATTCTAAACTGCTATGATTCTAAGATAACTCTTATTGCTATTCATATCCAATACAGAAGAAAAAAGGCAGAAAGATGCTTCTATAATTTTAATTTTTACATTATAAGAAAATAGCAGGAATCACTACATATATTTGAACACACATACAAATATAGGCAACTGTTCTGATTTTAGGCAATAACAGGTTATCTGTGGTGGATGGTTAAAAAAAAAACTATCTGTATCATTTCTTAAAATAACAATAAAATCAGAAATCCAAGACCAGATGGGAAAATAACATGCTAGAAAAACGCATATCATAACAAGTGAAACATATGAAGATTAAAGACAGGAGGCCTCTTTTGATATTTATGATCCATTAACAAGTTTTCAAGGCAAATATAAGCAAATATAGGTTATGAGTAATTCTTGTTTACAGATCAAGCAATGAAATCTAGAGTGTCACTTTTGTACAGATAGTGTTAATATTCAACATCAAGATATACATATAATTGACATCACATTTATCTAAATAAATCATAAATTGTCATCCTACACAACAGAAAATGATCAGTCTAATTTAGGGTATTTATTTAATTTAGGGTATTTATTAAGCACTTAAGCAATGAGGCAAGCAACAATCATTATTAGATTTATAGAAATTCTCAATCTTCAAATGCAACATTACAAAAAAAGATACTGTTACTCTCCCACTTACCAGTAAGGATATTGGAGCTTAAGGAGGTTAAGCAACTTGTCCACAGTCACAAAGCAAGCTGGGAAGAAAACTATATAATAAATTCAGGCACTCTGTCAGCAAGGACTGCAGATGTTAAACGTTACAAAACAGTGCCTTCCCAAAAGCATTAAAGAGGCTTCTAAGAGCAGTAGTAAAATATGCTTTATTGCGTGTAAATAACTACCATGTCCTTTGGGAGGCCGAGGTGGGTGGATCACGAGGTCAAGAGATTGAGGCCATCCTGGTCAACATGGTGATACCCCGTCTCTACTAAAAATACAAACAATTAGCTGGGCATGGTGGATCGTGCCTGTAATCCCAGCTACTCAGGAAGCTGAGGCAGGAGAATTGCTTGAACCCAGGAGGCGGAGGTTGCGGTGAGCCGAGACTGCGCCATTGCACTCCAGCCTGGGTAACAAGAGCGAAACTCTGCCTCAAAAAAATAAAAATAAAAATAAATAATAATTACCATGTCTAATAATTTAACACACAATAATTTTACTCATGTGTTTAGCTTTAAAAATGTAGCAAACTCCACTAATTTTATCTAATGAAAAGATAAACAAATCTGATATATCAAAAACTTACAATGAAAATTCTCTATTATAAAATACGCTTCATAGAAAATCTTTATTACTTAATAGAATTCTTTGGGGGTTGTTTTTTATTAACAATAATTAACATGAAAATAATTGTATATGTGTAATAGATAATTCTAAAAGAAAATTTAACATTTGTAAAAACGTAATTACTTCTGGAAAATGAAATTTATACTACTAACAAAAGTGAACTCCAGACTGACAAACTTACTAAGAAGTTCAATAAATTGAGTTCAGGATGAGACTGTATGGTACAAGAATGTATAATCATAGTTAATACAGCAATATTTACTCCACTATTAATATTCATACTATTTATGTTATTGTTAACTTGTATGTTTTTAAACTTTTAAAACATTTTTAGTCAAAATAAATAATTTCCTCCCTTTCAGGGATATAGTTGATAGTGTGAGTTAAAATCAATATGCCTGACCAACATAATGAGATCCCGTCTATACAAAAATACTAAAAAATTAGCCAGGCATGGTGGTATTCGCCTGTAGTTCCAGCTACCTGGGAGGCTGAAGCAGGAGGATTGAGTCCAGAAGTTCAAGGTTGCCATGAGCTATGATTGTGCCACTGCACTCTAGCCTGGGCAACACAGAGAGAGCCACTCTCTAAAAAACATAAATAAGTGATAATAACAATAATAAAAATGAATATAGAGAAGAAGAAAAATTTATAAATTCTCATTAATTTTCAACTAAAGCCAATGGAAAAGAGGTATTGTTTCTTTTCTGCAAAAATAACTATACCTAGTTAATCATCACTGAAAGAAGTCTGAGAAAAGGCGGCACAATTCTGTCACATCTCAGAATTAAGTTGGTACACAGTGATTCACAGGCCTTCAACAATTTCAGAGAATTCTGACCTCTCAGTTCTTATGGTGCTGTAAGACCACAATGCTGAAATCAACTCAAATACATAAAGCAATCTTCCTCTAGAATAGTATCCTAAATATGTCAATAACACTATAAAAACCTGCAAGTTATACAATCAACAATACATAAAGTAACATTGTATTTAACTGCTAATCAACAAAAATAATAAAATTGCAACTTTATCTCACCTCTATACCTAGATAAACCTCAGGGAGATTCACAGCCTATAACAATCCTAACAGCATATTATTAATACTTGCTGAAACACATTAGGCTTAATGTATTAGTTATATATACAAATAACATATCTGAACCAAATGTCCAAGGATTCTGTGCACTCAAGAGATCCTCCTTAAGATACTATGGGAAAAAAAGCCAAAGGACAGTAACACAATTTGATTTCTACACTGTGTTCATGAAACTGGTCTTGGTATTTGATTCTTTAATTCTTTTTACTAAGTTGGCTCATGGGACTTCCTGCTAAATATTAGCTGCCCAAAGTTTATAAACTATTTGTTCAGCCCAGGAGAAAACTGCTATGAAAATCACAGAACAGCAGATATCAAATTCATTTATTATGTACAGTTGTACCAACTTAGCATTTTTCATTTTTATTATCTTTTAGCAGTGCTGTTCCCTGTCTTCAAAAACTTTGCCAAGAAGAAAAGAGATCCACTGCTGTAAGATTATACAGCTGCCCTCCTCACGAACTCAAAATCCCTCTGCTTCCTCAATTCCCTCTTCTTTTTAATGCCTTTCTCTGAGTTTTAAACATAACACCCTCTCTACCAAAGCATATCTTCCACCCGTTTTTCATGAAAGTGACTCACTGCCAATTGCAGTCCATTTTTTAAATCAATTATGTACCATATTTCTCTTTCACTTGCAGATTCTCTCTGTAGGCTGGCTCCTTTCTCTCTTCCTACAAAAGTTTTCAGGTATCCTCTGTGCTTAGAAAAGGAAGTGGGAGGAGACAAAAAAAAAGATAAACCTTTCCTGTGCTCCTGCTCCCCCCAACACAATAGCTTTGTGATTGGTTACCCTACAAATGTCTTTAAAATGAAGACTGCCCCACCTGACTCTAATTTCTCACTTCCTATCCACTACTTCATTTCCAAGTATACTTGTTAAGCCATTTCTACTTTGCTTAGATTGTTCTCCCAATGACTAACATCTATATTTGTCCACAAGCCCACTACTCCTTCCACTGCAAGACAGAAACCTTGAGTCACCCAAGACTTACCCTCTTAAGTCACCCTATGCATGCAGTTTCTAACTGTTTTAATAAGTTGATATTTCTACTTTGTATCTCAAATATATCTCTTGGTGCCAGTATATTGGTTTGGGTGATTATTACTGCAACTTAAAATATTGTGATACTCTCCTAATTGATCTATCCACCTGTGGATCTATCTATTGTCTATAACAGGCTATAATAAATCTTGCCAGACTTCATTTTAACCACTCTTTATTTACAATTCAGACTATACTTTACCGTATACCCTGATGGAAGAATCATCTTTCCAGAAGTCTAGCAGCAATAACGCCACTATCCTCCTTAAAAAAATTCACTAAATTTTCATTAGCTCCACATTCACAAGTGAATTAAATGCAAACTTCTTAGTTCATTACACAAAGCTTTGAACACTACAGCCCCAAACTATCTTTGTTAATCTAATTCTCTCTGACTTATATTCTAGAATAAATGATATTAAATTGTTATTCCCATCCATAAAAACAGGGATAGAATTCTATTTGTTTTCTTCTTCTCTTGTCATGCACAGAAAAGAACATACATTCTAAACAAGGAAGGTGTGTGTGTGTGTGTGTGTGTGTGTGTGTGTGTGTGTGTTTTAACTGCTATATATCCCCAGAACCTGGAAAACTTCTTGGTAATTAACAGGCATTCATTAACTATTTGTTGGAAACACAGGCATCCTGTGATAATATCCATTTTGTTTCATGGCTGAGAAACACAAAGTATACTGCTGGCATAATTAAGCACCTCAACATGAACATCATGAAGAAGATAACATGTATTTGTAAGGTAAGTGTCCAAATATGGCAGTACTACAGAAATGTAACATCAATACAAGCCAGGCCTTTACTATTGCAGTCTCTATAAGCTCCTCATTGGTTTTTCCAGGAACATGTGAACATTTCAGAAGATTTTGGCTAACCCATGGTAATCTCTGTGGCATAGAGTTAGCTGCTGAGGATTTCATTAAATGTTAGAAAGAGTTCCTAGGAATGGAGTTAAGGGCACATAACATGTGAGATGGTAATGAAAAATACATTTCACATGCTTCAAAGGATGCTTCACTGCAAACAAGTTCGTTGAGAAATACTGCATTAAGACAGCAATTCTCAAGAGGTAAAAATGTTTTTTAAAAGGTTCTGAGTTTGTAGCATTTTTACTATATAACATCTATATCTTTTAAAGTGGCTATAGCTACTGGATAAAAAGAAAGTATCTGTGTGATCCATAACAGGTCATTCATATGTGTGCAAAGTACCTTCACAACCAATAAAAACGTCATCAACTGTTGTAAATACATATCTCAATCTACTGCTCTATCACAAGGCATAAAGCAATGTCAGGTACAAGATAAGCTTTTTCAAACTAAGCTTCCTTCCACCTCCAAGATTCAGAGGAAAGGACAGCTCACTGCATAATGCCATAAGTTCCTAAAAGTATGTTTAAAGACACAAAACAATGGTCTACCAATTATTTTGAGATGCACTATGCTGCAAGAAATTAGATACCAAAAGTGATTTTCAAATAGACACTCTTGGTCTATTAAGTGATCATAATTAAAGTACATCTTCTAGAAATAAATCTGCATATTGGCAAAAAGGGTCCATCCAACTTCCTTTATACCTGCTTTGTTTAACCTGAATAGTTTCTATCTGTTAATTTACAGGTGGGCTAGTGAAGTCCTTGATGCCCTACATATGACTTAACAATTCAATAAGATTCATTTTTAATTAATTATCTTTTACATTCCAAAAACTCATTGCTTAAAAGTCCTTTTAGTAAACTCGAACCCCAAGGTAGATTAAATACAGTATGACTATATGAATTTTTAAGAACTGTTCCATAAACTACACATAAAAATCAATTCTAATAATTTTTAGTCAGACCTCTGTTATATATATTTGAGACAGGCTGGAGTACAGATTCAAACTCCTGGGCTCAAGCAATCCTCCCACCTCAGCCAGCCACTTCATCTATGTTCACTCCCTCCTTCGCCTCAAGGTCTCTCAGAGAGATCACATCACACACAGAAACTATTCTCCAAATAACAGCACTCCTACCTGTCTTCTCAAATCTTCTGGATTTCTGTTTATACGATTCTACATGTTTTCCAAACCTTGATAATCAAAAACACAGCTTTCAGTCAACAGTAAGTTATATCTTAAATAGTTAATATCCCTTCAGTAATATTTTCAGTTCAACCACTAAGAACTGATTGGCGCCAACCATCATTGGTTAAGGGCTAGTTATCCATTTTCCCACCTGCGTACCACCAGTTACAAGCAGAAGTTAATACTGACTGTATATCATAATATTCCTCTTTAATCTTTTAATCAGAGAAAGCAAACATAAATTTAAAAGGCAGTGGGTATTAGGAATTGTTTTTCAATGGGTAAGCCAGTAGGGTAAGAATAAAATACAATTAAAAAGCACTAATTAAGGACAAAAATTTTAACCCATGGCTTACTTATCCATCACATAAACTGTTTTGTAATTCTATCCCGAATTTGTCTCTTTAGGAGAAGGAAGAGGATCATGCCCCTTCCCCCAACAACCCCCATCTTTGGGAATCATTCATCTTCCTGTTGCTACATGAGTCAGCACCACTGGAAGTGGACAGCTTCCTGCTGTTTATTAAGAGGAAAAGTCTTCAACCCATAAACTGATACAGTATAGATAAACCACAAACAAGAGTAAAAGATGGGCCCAAAAATGTGGTAGACAGTATTATAGACACACAGAATACAAACAACAAAACAGCTGTTGGTGGATAAATGTCTATGTTGCTCACTGACACAACTTATCTTTTTAAAATAAAATTAAAATATGACATTTTAACTATTAGTCATTCCTAATCATTATACTCTAATGAGATCATGATTAATTCACTTAATAGTTAGGAAGAAATAAATTTTCTTTATTATTAGTTAGGCCTAATTTGCTTCAAAGGGCTTGCCTTACACTCCACTCCTCACACCTCAAGGTTAGGTTAGTTATCTTGCCATTTGTGGATAGCTCGGTCGCTATCCATAGCTGATAATATGATTACATGAAACTGTTTCTAGGTTTATTTCCTCCACTATACAACTTCTATTTCTATCATCCTAGTTACAGCACTTAGTACTACATACCACTTATTCAATGCCTTCAATATACTTGACCTGTTATATTCATTATTTCATTAATCCATAACTACCTTATGAAGTACTACTAGTTTCATTTTGTATTTAAAAACATTTCTTAGAATTATGAAGAATTATAAGAATTATGGCAGTCAGAATTTAAACCCGGTTCTGTTCATCACCAAAGCCTGGATAAATTCCAGAGATATAATGCTTCATTCTATAATACACAATATATGTAGGATAACAAGGCAATTATATCAAGATTTATTTATCTATTCAACAGAAATTCATCCAAGAAAAGTATGTTTTCAACATTACTGACCATTAGCATGCTTCTCCTTAGTAGTGACCGTTCTCTTATGCTCAGAGAAGTAGCACACAGTGGTTATACAGACAGATGACTGGGGTTCCAATCTCAGTTCCTACACTTACTTCTCCATGCTTCAGTTTCTTCACATGCAAAATATGGACAATAATGTTATCTATCTCATAAGATCAAATGCACTAATATCTACAAAGTACTTGAGATGGTGCCTGGCACAGAGTAAGGAAGTGTTTATTAAACAAAAACTCTCCCTGGGTAGACTGTATCAAATCTGCTTAATGGCAAACTCTGTTGATACACATGTACTTTATTTATGGAGAAATACCTTGTAATCTAAATGCTTTAAAATGTTCCCTTAGGGTAAGGGAGTTGTCTGAAAGGGGGCAGACGGAGCAAACTATTCCAAGGGAGGAATGAAAAGCTAACAACAGAAGTGGGAAGGGAACAAAAGAGAAACTAAGTTGGCTTGGACCTCCAAAACATTTTCCAGATTGACTTTTGGTCATTTGAAGAACTATCAGAACTTCAGATCATCCTGAGTTCAAAGGAGGAAAATTTTATATATATTAATTATTGATCCTCCAATTTATGACTTAACAGATTTAAGTATGATAGATATTAATTGTTTTGAGAATGCAAACTGGCATGTGTTTCTAAATCAAGAATCTTTTTATAACTCCCCAGTACCTGTACCAAAGGTTTCTGTTACTTTTAAAGAATTAACACATTTTTTTCATTCTGAGATTCTAGTTTTAATGGAAAATAGTTAAAATTACGCATTTTATGGAGACAGTCCACATTTTAAAAAACTGAATCCAAAGCATAATTAGTTTTATTTCTCCACTTTTCAAAAATAAGCTTGAATATACTTAAATCCCCTAAGGTCAGAATGAATGAAAGAGTAGAATAAAAGAATTATTTCAGCAAAAATGGCTAAGAATGACACCTCTTCTACAGAACTAAAATAAAACTGTCAACACTGCAAATAAAAATAAAATGATGAAATAAGAAAACATCCTGGGCCAAAAAGCAAATTGGCTATGTTTAACTTAAATTTTTAAAATTTATTTAAGGAAAAAAAATTAGATACCTAGAAAAAAAAAACTTTACACTAAGAAATTGCAAAATAACTTCTTTTTTCTCCCCTGACTGGAATGCAGTGGTGTGATCTCAGCTCACTGCAACGTCCGCCTCCTGGGTTCAAGAGATTCTTCTGACTCAGCCTCCCCAGTGGCTGAGATTACAAGTCCCCATCACCATGCCAGGGTAATTTTTTGTATTTTTAGCAGAGACAGGTTTCACAGTTTTGGCCAGGATGGTCTTGAACTCCTGACCTTGTGATTGATCCACCTTGGCCTTACAAAGTGCTGGGATTACAGGAGTGAGCCACAGTGCCTGGCCACAGACAAATTCTTATACAGCATAAAGTAGATTAAAGGTTGGCTGGGCGTGGTGGTTTACATCTGTAATCCCAGCACTTTGGGAAGCAGAGGTGGGCGGATCTCCTGAGGTCAGGAATTCAACACCCGCCTGGCCAACATGATGAAACCCTGTCTCTACAAAAATACAAAAATGAGGTAGGCATAATAATAGGTGCCTCTAACCCCAGCTACTCAGGAGGCTGAGGCAGGAGGTTGTGTGAGCTGAGATTTCGCCATTGCACTCCAGCCTGGGAGACAGAGAAAGACTCTGTCTCAAAAAAAAAAAAAAGGAGAACATGACATAGATGAGAAAATATGTTCACGTCTCAAATTATTTTAAGTCTTCACTCAGTTAGTACTGAAGGACATTTCAGCTGTTAATTGGCTACAACATCCAAAATTAACAAATCTTCAATTATTTTATTTCAATAATCAGATCAAAGATCTATGAATTATTTTGTAATTTAGGGCAAACTTATTCTGTACAGAGAATACTAAACCAACACTATTCAGATTACCCAATTTCTTCTTCAGACGTGAGACTCTTCCAGAGTTCACAAATACTCCCTTTCTTTTTTACAAAAATCTTTTCTTCTATGTACCAAATTATGACATGAAAATCATGGATTACATATTTTTTTCATTTCTGTAGAAAAAAAGGCACGTTTTGTCCACATTAGTAAAATCTCTGGGAATTTATTCTGCCTTTAATTTAATAAGCCTTCCACAAATCTAGTGTATTTAATTCATTTAATATTTAACTTCATAAATACCAATAATCAAGTTCAAGTGAAATTGCATTTAGATTATTACAAACCTAACAAGTGCTTTCTTATAATGCAAGATACTTCCAGCAATAAAACAATTCATATGAGATAAGGTGTTTAAATAATAGCATTGAAAGCCTTTAATAAATAAATTTTGACATATTTTTATTACTTAATCACAAAATGTTTAAAAGTTCAAAAATAAAACTGAATCATTTTCAGTGATTGGGCTCCAATTGTTAATTATTTACCATGGCTGAAAGTCTTTCACTGACCCTGCTTCCTCATTTGCCTCATTATTTCCTCATAACCCTCTCACTTAACAGTATATATTCTGGCCACAAAGAACATCTTTCTGATCTCCAAACTCTCTGCAGCCTTGACTCCAAGCTTCTGCACTGACTATTCCTTTACTTTCACATCTCTTCTATCACTAACTTATTTGGTTAACTGCCACCTGTATCTCAGGTCTGGTTCAGTTGTCACTTCTCATAAAGCACCTTCACTGACTCCTCAGGGCTTAAGGTAAGCATTTTTCCTATGTACTCTCACAGTACCATGTTCTTATCTGTAACGACCTATAGCAACGTATACCTTCTTTCAGGTCAAACCCTTAAGAAACTCAGTTGCCAATATATTATAACCTTTTACCACCCATATTCCTGGAGTGCTCTCCATAAAAGGTATAAGGCTAAGAAAATTATACTACTACCAAACAGCAGCCATTCCAATTCTTTTCAAATACAGGAGGCTTATTTGAGAAAAACAACACAACTTCAACATACTTGCACTTTTAACATTACTGAAGATAAACTTAAAGAATCAAGGTCATTCTCAAATTTACCTAAAATTTAACAAAAGTCACATTTTCTTCAAACCAAAGACTCAAAACTATAATGCAAACCATAGTCTACCTATTCCTCTCTTTGTTTTAATTGTTTTTCAATCTTTTTTTGCTGGAAGCTTGTTATGTGCGACATCACATTTACATCTCATCAAGTTTATTGTTTGTTTTAGGGTCGTGTGGTTTTTCACTTTTTATTTTCTGTGTGTGTGTGTGTGTGTGTGTGTGTGTGTGTGGTTTTGTTGTTGTTGGTTTTTTTTTTTTTTTTGAGACACTGTCCAGCTCTGTTGCCCAGACTGGAATGCAGTGGAAATCATAGTTCACTGCAACCTAGAACTCGAAGGCCCAAGAAATTCTCCTGCCTCAGTCTCCCGAGTAGCTGGGACTACAGGTACACCACTGTGTCCAGCTAATTTTTCTAATTTGTACAGATAGGATTTGATTACATTGCCCAGGCTGGTCCTGAACTCCTGGTGTCAAGCAATCTTCCTGCCTCAGCCTCCAAAAGCACTAGGATTAAAGGCTTGAATCACCTCATCTGGCCTTATCAAGATTTGTATCAAGTTTATGGAAACCTGCCCATATTAAACAATGAAGGAAACAGAAAACACCTTTAGAGAAGGACCCCCTCTGAAAGTTGTAACCTGAAGCCTCTAAAACACAACCAAATTAATATGAGAAGTAATTTCTGTCAAGAGGGTGCCTGAAATTCACAGACTCTGAAAGCACAAGTATCAACTTTTATTTAATAAAAACTATGCTATTTTTGTCTGAAAATTAAACAGTTTAAAATAATTTCAGTCATTAGTTCAAATTCCTCTTATGCCTTCTCAAACTTTTTCACTTAATTTTTTTCATGATTTGTTTTTCATTTTTCCTTACTAGCTTTCCCCCTGTTTTTAAGGCAGTTTGTTTATATGGTACTTCCACATACATTACCACCTGGTTCGTTTCTTCACTCATCCCAATCATGCAATCATGTACCATGTATTTATCAGACATCCACTATGTACAGGATATAGGGTTTGCCCTTGCAGGTTTACCATATTAAAATAAAATATATTTTTTAGAACAGTTTTGTATTTAGAGAAAAGAAAACTGAATGGTAAGTAACAGAGTTCCCATTTACCCCTTTAACTCCCACACAGTTTCCCCTATTATTAATATCTTGCATTAGTATGGTACATTTGTTGAAATTGCGGAGCCAATGTTGATACGTTATTATTAACTAAAGCCCACAGTTTACATTGAGGTTCATTCTTTACATTAGACATTCTATGAATTTCAACAAATGTATAAGGACATCTATCCAGCATTATGGTATGATACATGGTATTTTCATGTCCTAAAAGTCCCCTGTGTTCCAACTATTCATCCCTCTTGCTTCCCAGATCTACACACTCACCCTGGGATTCACTGGCCTTTTCACTGTCACCATGTGTTTGCCTTTTCCATAATATCACACAGCTGGCATCATACACAGCCCTTTCAAATTCACTTCTTTCACTTAGCAATTGACATCTAAGTTTATCAAGCTATTTCTATGTGGCTTGATAGTTCATTTCTTTATATCTCTGAATAATACCTCATCATATGTACTACAGTTCATCTATCCATTCACTTATTGAAAGACATCTTGGTTACTTGGAAATTAAAAATCAAGTTGCTATGGACATTTGTGCACGGGTTTTTGTGTGAATCTACATTTCCAATTCATTTAGGTAAATATCAAAAAATGCATTTTTTAAATGTAATAACAAAGTTAACACTCTATTTGTTTAAAATGTCCTAATTTGTCAGAAATTGCTCTTCTACTTGTATTAGTTATGAATATTTAGATAATATGGTACGCAAATGTTTCTAATGGTTCTTGTCTCCTCAGAGGTCCATCTTTCACATTCACCTCACGCATGCCTGCAATTGCTGTTAGACAAAAATATCAGCCATTATTTCTCTAAATGTACACAGCTTGGCAAAAATGCTCACCAACATTTAAATCACTATATAAATGTGCATTGGCTTTTTCATTTTCCAGTGACAAACCTAAACCAAATCAAGTCAACAATATTTATTAAATACCTACTATGAACAAATCACAGACCCTGTTGGCTGCAAACAGGGTTCCTACTTGTCAGTGGTCTAAGAATATTCAGAATTCTGTCTACATCAGTGACTCACAATGTTCTTAAAGAGAAATTTCCATAAAAACCGAAGCAGTACATCATAACACTAAGATAGTGACTATATTATAGCCTTATAAATCTCCCTCCTAATCTTCATAGGATCAGTCCTGATTTTTCCTAAAGCCTATATAAAACCAGATATTTTTTTCCCGGTTCACAACGTTGAATCTAGCATATAAAACTCCATTTGCTTTATATGGAGAAAGGGCACTTAATTCTAGCAACAAACATAAAAAATGAAATTTAAAAAGTCATTAGTTAAAAAAAATCAAGAACAGCTCTTTTAACTGTGACTTTTAAATTCAACATTATGAAATAAATTTAATAATGAAATAATTTTACCCTATTCAGTTTGTTAATTATAAGCTTATAACTGAGGTAAGCATGTCTTTAAAATATATTAAATTTTATTTAAAGATTGCTCAGTCTACTTGTCATTATCCGATTACCCAAATTTTGCCTGTCTCTAACCCTGAGAATTAGGTCCATTAACTGCCCCAAAGATACCTGATGCCCTCCTCATCTCTCCTTCTACCATCTTTGCATCTGCAGTGGCTTAGAAATAGCTACTGCTCGGCAGAGCCAGGTGACTTAAGCCCATACTCCCACACTTTGGGAGACCAAGGAGGGCAGATCACAAGATCAAGAAATCGAGACCTTCCTGGCCAACATGGGGAAATCTTGTCTCTACCAAAAATACAAAAAAATTAGCTGGGCGTGGTGGCATGCACTTGTAGTCCCAGCTACCCAGGAGCCTGAGGCAGAAAAATCGCTTGAACATGGGAAGCAGAGGTTGCAGTGAGTTGAGATCGTGCCACAGCACTCCACGCTGACAACAGAGCAAGACTCTGTCTCAAAAAAAAAAAAAAAAAAAAAGGAAGAAAGAAAGAAATAGCTGCTGCTCAGAAACAGACCTCTCCATGTTGACCCTGGAGCTCTTAAACTGCATTTCCTGAGACTCTTGCTTTGCTATAAAGCAGATTGTGGATACCACAGAGATGGAATATTATCTTCATTATGTCCTGAAAAACAACTGAAGATGAAGTCCAATCAGGCCTACCCAGAATTCTGAGGTGTAACAGCAATGTTCTATATAGGTAGGGTTTATGTGGGCAGTCCCAGTTTATGTCTCTTATAAATTTCATCTTCAAAGCACCCTGATTTAGACAATAAATCAGAAGGTCAGCCTGGTCATAGGCACCCCTCCCTTCTACACATTCACTTTACATCTTCCCTACCATCCCTTTAAACAATCACCCCTGTGGACATCTGGCCCCTTTGTGCCACTGACTATCAAAAGTTTAAGCACTTTAACAACAAGGATTCTGTAGTCACTACTTTTCATACACACTATATTGTAGGCAGGACCCTTTTAAAATATGACAGATTTGTTTTATGAAAACCGAGCAATTTCCCAATAAAGGCTTTCTCTTCCAAACTAAAAAAATGTAATTAAAATATCTTGCATCAGACTTAGAAGCATAAAACACCCCAAAATAAATCACAAGCCAATCACCTTCTAACTGAAAAAGGTTAGTATGATGTTCTAAAGTCAAAATAGCAATTGTTATAGGATTAATGTAAAGATAAATGTCTAGAATTCAAAAAGAAAGGGTGGCCACAATTACATTTTACAAATGGCAAGGTCAGAAAAAAAAATGTGTGATCCAAGAGCAGCAAACTGATGAGTAACAGTAAGGCAGAAGTTCAAGGTGAGA